CTGGCGATAGCCTGGAGGTGTCAGCGCGGTCCGGGCGAGGGGGAGGCAGCCCCCGGGGCAGGGCTCGCAGGGGGGGTCCAGTGGGGGAGGTTGTCGCTGTGGATTTACCCACCGCCGCGCGGGGGGTACAGGAACGTGGGACGCGCAGATTCCCGCTGGGGAGTGTGATCAAGCTTCCTGATAATCATACGGGTGGATAATCGCCTCTATCAAGGTGTAAGTGATGCACTTTTGAGTGACAATACAACAGCTCGTTAAATATCTTATGGGACAAATAAGTCTTTTGAAAAATAGCTTTCTTTTGAAAGCTGGCCAAGATTTATATTAATATTTATAAGCACTGGAACGTGATCGTTTATTCAATAGTTTTATTTCGTTAAAAGAGAAAACTAATATAACTATTGCACTGGTATATGCTAACCTGATTTGTATAAAACACTGTCTGTGAAAATGAATCACTGCAGAGATAATTGCCAATAATTGCAAAGCTTTTCTACCTTGTGTAGTCGCGTGATCCGGAAAGGAATCTGGCTCTGTGTGCAAGACATGATTTAAGAGTCTGTAAAATTTACATGAATCATTATACATTGTTTTTTTCTTGGTCATTTAACTTTCGAACTTGGGCGAAAATTATTTGTAGGAAAACGACATTAAAAATCCTAACGCCGTATTACACACTACCGCAATCCCTCTGGGTCCTGCAGCACTTTGCTTTAACACTGAGCAGGGAATGTCTGGTCTCGAAGCAGCGCAGGTCAGCCAGGTTTCTTCTCCAGCTGGAGACAGGCCTTCAAAAATCTCTTCAATGTATTAAATTTTATTCAGGTAAAGAAATAAAAGCTCCGCGCCAAATCGTTACGCGCAAACGATCCAGGGTGTTTATTTGTGGGGACGTGTTGTTTCGCTGTGTGGCTGCGCCCAGTCCCGAGCAAATCCCAAACAAAACTATCAGCTTTATGACCAAATCCCAGAGAACACCACTCATCTGCTCTTCAGCCAAGCAGATTGTACTGAGCTACGCAGATCCAGCGGATTTTTAGGTCTGCCGAGCTCCTTTGGGTTAAGTAAAAGGTGAATTTGCACATTCCTCTCAATCCAAAAGACGCAGGTCTTTTCCTAGAAGAGCATAATGCCAACGTGGATCGAAAAGAGGCGGAATGAGGGGATGAAGGTGGCTGCGGCAGGAGTCAGGGCGCTCTCCTGCATCAGCGCCCCGGGCGAGGCAGGCGTTGTCGTCGGGCTTGCTGTACCTTCAGCCTTGGGGAAGGCGTGTGACTCGTTAGCTCGTTCGTTAAACCCCCTTTCCTCCCGTGATGACACTGAATTGTGCCCTCCTCCCTCCCGCGTGTGCCGTTTCCAGGCGGGTGTCACTAAGTTGGGCTTAATTCCTGAAGCCCTGAGCGGTCTGGGCTCCACCAGGGGCGAGAGGCTGCCGCGGCAGTCAGCAGAGGTTTTTGCTGCGAGAACCGCGGCTTCAGGTGGTGTCATCCGGTAGTGGCCAGGAATTTGGGAATTCAGCCTGGTTTTGAGGGTGGCAGCCCCGTCGCACCAGCTTTAGGGTGCAGGGCAAGGACGGCCGTGGCTCGCGAGGTGCTCCGTGGCGGTGGGGCTCAGGCACCAGGCTCTGCTCCTGGGGAGGTCAGCTCGGTTTGGGCCGTTTGCATCCTTGGGGTGTGTGTGGTGAGAACATCAAGGACTGTGTCTGTTTTGACGTGTTTTAAAACAATGTTTAAGAAGTGAAGGTTGGCTCAGGACATCAGCTTCTTCTGAGACGGGTCTCAAGAAAAAAAGGAAAGGCAGCTTGTGGGGATTGCTTCAGATTTTCCTTTTTTTTTTCCCTTAAGGGGGTAAACTTACTTGATTTAGTTAATTTGCGCTGACACTGAGACTTGACTGGAGTCTGTGGTTTAAGAGAGATTGAGTTCAACCACTGGAGGCCTTTAAAGCTGCTGCCCAGGATTCAGACCCGAGTCACTTCATCCTTTACCCCAGTTTCCCCATCTGAAGTGCATTTCCTTGTCGATGGACTTGTTTGGCCGGGTTTTTTTTATGCATGTCCTAACTTCACATGTTAGTCTTTGTTTTCCACCATCCAGCATTTCCTACAGGCTGGGAATGAACCAATTTCCCTCCAGGCAGGTAGCAGCTTAGCCGCAGGGAGGCCCCAGCAGAGTGAACTTGTTGGATCACGCCTCCCTTCCCGAGCCCCAACCTTTACTTACACCGAGTGGAAAGCAGGCGACTACAAGAGACAACGCAGCCCCGGCAGCCTCCCAGGGAGCTGCCCCATGGCCCAGCCTGAAGCCCGGGCCCTGACCTCCAGCAACATATTGTCTCCATCCCTGCTCAAGCACATGGCTGTTGGGAAGGTGGGCGGGAGAGCCGGAGGGCTTCCCGCTCCCCCCTGGGGCACCCACAGCCCTCGCTATGGCGGCTTCGGCCCTTTCCCCTGAGGCAGGGCCTGGCTCTGACCGCCAGGCCCAGCTCTGGGCCCACAGCATAGGCCGCAGCGAGGCCTGGGGGCTCCCGGCTCTGCCTCCGGGTCCCACGGGCCTTCGGGCCTCCCAGGCCCTGGGCCCGTGGTACCGG